GGTCTGACTCGACTTTCCTATACATTTATTTAATTTGACCTCTTGGTTCAAGAAGTTTCAGTGTTGTGTCTCAGAGATTTCTGAATTGTGTTTAGCTGCTGGATCATCCAGAGAGCCAGCTAGCCCTAATCTAAAGTCCCTGCATGAGGTTCAACAAGTAAAGCTGACAGGTGAAAAAGGTTGAATGATACAAAACACAAATTGTGTTAGTGCTGACCAATGAAACTGTGTCTTTCAGCCATTTACCTCAGCTCATTCAGTACGTCATCAGATGTGCTGCCTTCAATAATGAAAACGTCATCCATGTCATCATTCAACAAGTTGCAGGAGTAACCAATATTCATTGCTGTCTCTGGAAAAGATAAACCAGGAAGATGACTCAGCCCCAAATTCACCTGCTTCTGTGGGCTTTTTATACAAATGACAAAAGCTCTCTTTCTGACCCAAGTATATGACAAAAGCTCTCTTTCTGACCCAAAAATGCTTGGAGCTTTCAGAATCAATAATAAGAGAGCCAAGAGAGTCACTTTGATGGATGCAGCAGCAAATCTCCCCAGATCTCACAAGACTACAGAAAAAAAATTATTCTACCAAAATGAAAAGGTCTAAATCACCCTTTAGCCAGCATACTTGGAGCAACAAAAAGACATTTAAAGTTGATTCAAAATTTTTTTTTCAGATTTTTTTCCCTCTCCCTACTTCTGGAAAAGTCCCAAACCATAGCTCCAAAGAATATCAAAACATTTTGTTCAAAAAATTCTGAAAAAATATATTTTGGGATTTTATAGCAAAACTATTACATTTGGAACATGACAAAATGAAATGCTTCTTTTTTTCTTATAAATTATCTGCTCATTTCTTGGATGAAATTATTTGCAAACACTTTGGGCCTCTCTGGAACACTATTGTTTCAGTGAAATTACTATTTCTCCAAACGAATTCACTGGAGTCTATTTACTGTTCTTTCCAACTCCTAAAGTCTATTTCTTCCATTTCTATTCTGGATCATTAGTGCCAGAACCAAACTGAAATGTGTCCAACATCCACTTTTAACATTAAACTTTCTGGAAAGCAGGACAAGATCTTTTCCACCTTCTTCACCAGGATGGTTGACTGTACTAAAGTGACATCTTTTCATAGCATGTGTCAGGGGCTATAGGATGCTTACTGTCACCACTCCAAAGGCAAAAGATGCTGCCTTCATCTTGCTTCCAGCCTCAGGACAGAAATTAAGGACAGGCATTACGTGCAGTTAACTGGACTAATTCCAGTTAACTGGAATTTTGCCTAGCTGGCAATGAAGCAAAGCCCTACAAATTTGTGTTTTGTGCAGTTTTCAAAGAAGAATGAGAATGTAGGTGTTAGCAGAACCATCCCACCTGTAGGAAAGAAGATAAACATCCAAAGCTGTAGTGCCTTTACCTTGCTTATCACCAGTGAGAACCCATATCTTAATGTTGGCTTTGGCAAGAGTCTCAATTGTCTGTGGGACTCCATCTTGTAGCTTGTCCTCAATTGCTGTAGCACCTAGCAGCTTAACAGAAAACAGCAGGGAACTGGTAAGTCCTCCCATTGCTAGCAGAGGGGAAAGCATTAGACTTGGAAGTAATTACTCAAGCAAACACAAATGAAATCCAGGAGTAAGTTTGTACTGATTTTCATTCTTCCTCAGCAAATTTACTGTGCAGAGTATAGTCCTCATCCTGCGGATGTTCTAGTCTCTAATCCCCTGGACTCAGATGGATTATGAACATGCCTGAAATTATTTGCCAGAATGTTTGCAGACCTACAGGTCTGTGTTCTTCCATGTGTTCCCTTCACAGCAGACAGAGTTTTAACAGAGGGACAAAGACAGCTGTGGATCCACGTCCCCAGACCTGCATAGGCATCCTCTTGCATGGAGCTTGCTCTCAGCTGTAGTGTAATGCAGCTGTCACATGGCTGCTAAACATCTCCAGCCCTTAACAGACCTGTCCCCACCCCTGCTCCACACTGTCACACAGCTGAACCACAGACTTCTCAGGACACAAACCTTCATTTTTCTGAAGCTTTCACTGCTAGCTCAGATTTAGACAGCATCTGCTACCACCTACCTCCCGCTGTTGAGAGACTAAATTCAGTGGTTGGCTTTAAGCCCAACATCCTTTTTGGCATGCTGGGATGTCCATCACCTCTCATACATCAGTTGTAAGTGTTATCAATGTAGACAACAGCTCTGATAGACCTTCTCTATATGGTCCTTTAAACTGCACAGTCCCCATTTTGTCCAGTCCCCAGCTGAACCAGTCCAGCTAGAAAGAAGTTAAATGTTATGGCATACAAAGCTACCTCCTGGGAGCATGAGCTCATCCTTGGCAGCTTGAGTCTGAGCTGGAAGCATGAAGTTGGGCACTGATATCAAATGTGCCCAGGAAAAGAGAACAAAGGCTTCCATTCCCCACTGCCATCATCTTTCTGGAGCTGCAGAAAGGCACAACAGCAGCATTATTAACAGGTCTTTGCCTGTGTACCCATGATCTGGTGTGAGAGCAGCTGGAGGGAAAGCCATGATACCTTCTTGGCTGTGGATCTTCCTTAGTTTTTAGGTTGATCAACGATCAACAGTATTTTTACTACTATTCTCTGAGTCTATTCTTGTTCCATCCCTTGTGTCCTTATATCCTTACCCCACTAAAGGCCCCTAGTTGAAGCCTGCCACACACAGGGACTTCTGTTCTTGTATCAATCAGACCATGATACTCGGCAGTCCTCTATATCTCCGTAAGACCCATCTGTGTCTTTGTTGACTCTGGCTTTCACAAGTCAGGCTCTCCTGTACCCACCCTCTGCTCTTCCCATTGTACCTTTGGGAAGTAAAGTCACTCCTGTACAGTGAAGGGTCTTGTGTAAACAGTGTTTTCTTCTGAGCCATGCTTCTTCCTGCTGTGAGCCCATGGTCTTTTCTCTACTTAGGCCATGAACTTTGTCACATTTTCTTGCAAAGCAAGTGGACACTTCAACGCCTAGTCCTCCATGCCTTTCCTCCTTTGAACATGACCCACAGAGCAGTTACATGGTTTTCTGGGCTGGAGAATCTGCATTTTCCACTATTCTGTTGAGACCCATTTTCCACCATTCTGCTGAGACCCAGAAGGGCAGTAGGCTCTGCCCCATGGACTAAAGAACTTCCAGATGCCAGCATCTACTCAGCTCACACTTGCTTCTTCCCTGGGCCCTGCAGGCATCCTGAGCATACAGCTAATGGAAGGAGCAAAGGTGCAGCTCCCTTGATTTCCAAGATTTTCAGACTGCTGCAAGTCCAAAAGCTGAATTGCTTCTCCTCAGATCCCACATATCCTTTTCATTCATTATTGATGGCTCTAAAGCATGGGCAGATCCCCCAGGGCATTTAAAAACTGTAACAACACTGAGGGAGAGAAGAATGACTTTAAGATCACAGTTTAGCTCTATTTCAAATTGACACAAACATGTTCATGGACATCATCTCCCCATCCTGCCCAGGGCTGCAAGAACAAAGGAGACACTCTCTGAAAGAGAGAGGCACTGGGGATTATTCTCTCTGTGCCATTTCAAACACAGCCATTTGCACATACAAAGGATAGCTATGAAATATTTGTGTCCGTGTCATCTCCTGCAGGCTCTGATATGTCACTTCATCACAAGAAAGCTACTCTGACATGTACGTTAGTTAAAATAAAATCATTCCCTTGCACTGGTGGCTGACACCCCAGTTATGGGCTCCTGAGAGTGGTGCCAGTGCACACCCAGGACTGCCATGTTCTGAACCACTCCTGTCACACAACCCACTGAGCTCTTTGCAGAGCAGTTTCCCAAAGTCATACCGAGCTCTTTATTGACAAACCACCATCTCCCAGAGCTCCCCCAGAGCTTGGCCCAGATTCTCTGAGGCACCAACCATTAGATCTTTTTCAATCTCTTCATATAACTCCGACAGTTTCTCTTCCCGTCCTTCCAAGGCAGTGCTTGCTTCATGGTGACGCCTGATCCAATCCTGAAAGTACTCTTCCTCCAAGTTTTTATAGGCCACCACAAGTGTCCTCAGACCTTCTCCAGCAAACTCCTGCAGGACAGCGGTGAGGCAGAAAGGTCAAAGAAGAACAGTCTGGTCACTTGGGCTTACAAAGGACCCTCAGAAAGCAGATGGCTCTCTGTAAAAGTGTCTTGCCTAAAGTTTGCAGAGGAAAGGTGAAAAAATCATGCCTTAAACCACAAACCTTAGGGTACTTAAGAAAAGTAATTCCAGACCACTTTATCATTGTCATCCACAGTCTTTACAAAGAAAAAACTCGAAAAGGCTTTCCTACTTTCTGGCTTCAAAGCTTTACAGTAACCAGGCAGTTGCTTTCCAGGTTCATACTTCTCAACAAAAGGTCCAGAATAGTGAGACACAAATAAACACTAAACACAGTCTTGAAATTTAGACTTGGCTCAACAATTTTAGGGTAAGAATTCTAGCTGAAAGACACAGCATGAGCACAGCCAGTTATGGCATCTAAGCAAGTCCTTGTAACTGTGCTTTATGATGGACAGTATGGACCTCAGTGTTTGGTGGAATAGCAGATATGTTTGTGAAAAAGGAGGTGTTCCCCCAGGCTTGAAGTATCTGCAGCTCTGCTCTGCCATCTTCTTCGCCGCCAACTTTCTCTGGCTCCCTCAGGCAGTGAGCAGAGATGTTTATGCTATTGCACAACCCCTCTGGCAAAACTCTCTGCTATCTTGTGCTCTGCACAGTATCAGCAGGATCTGATATTGCAAGGGAGAGTAAATATTGCCCCAAATATCCTCTTATGTGAGTAAAAAAACTCCCAGTGCACGCCATCAACAAATTAAAGACCGTAAGTTTGAGTGATGTTTTTTACTTGCTGCCTAGTCAGTATGCCCTTATATGATCTAGAAGAAGGCAAGGTAAGTGGCATTATGTCCCAGTGCCTGCTCTGTGTTTTCTAAGACATCGCAGGCCACAATTATCTCAGATCTTAACTGTATGCAAAAACGTAAATGTCTTTGTAGCCCTTTAGTGATCATCTGAGTTATTCTGATTCAAGGTGTGCTTGACTGCATCACTTGAATGATTGTAGAGTAGCAAGAGACTTGAATGGAATTTAGTCACCAAAACACAGATGAGTTGTGCCATTTCAGGTGTTTCACCTATCCTGCCTGGTTTCCAGCTCCTACTCCAGAGAAAATCAGATCCTCTGGGTGTCCTACATTGTATTGGCCATCTGTGTCCAGATGACAGGATCACAGAATGATAGAATAGTTTGGGTTGGAAGGGACCTTAAAGTTCATCTAGTTCCAACCCCCCTGCCACAGCCTAGGACACCTTCCACTAGACCAGGCTGCTCAGATCCCCATCCAACCTGGCCCTGAACACCTCCAGGGATGGGGCATCCACGGTTTCTCTGGGTAACTTGTTCCAGTGTCTCATCACCCTCACAGCAAAGAATTCATCCCTAATATCTAATCTAAATCTGCCCTCTTTCAGCTAAAAGTCATTAAACCTTGCCTTATCACTACACAATATTGCAAAAAGTCCCTCTACAGCTCTCTTGTAGCCCCTTTAGGTACTGAAAGGTGCTATAAAGTCTCCCTAGAGCCTTCTCCAGGCTGAACAAACCCAACTCTATTGGCCTGGCTTCACAGGAGAGGTGCTCCAGCCCTCTGATCATCTTTGTGGCCTCCTCGGGACTCACTCCAAGGTCCACGTCATTCTTATGTGGAGGGCCCCAGAGCTGGGCTCAGTCCTTCAGATGGGATCTCACAAGTGTGGAATAGAGGGACAGAATCACCTCCCTCAATCTACTGAATGTCCTGGAGCTGTTCAAATGGCACCTAATGCCTATGCTTAGGCAACTGATTTGAGATTGAAGGTTGTATAAATTAATTTCTCTCTCTATTCCATAACTAAAAAATGGTGCTGAGGTGCTATTTCTGAAGTCTCTTTTTTGTCTCAACACAAAGTACATTTCCATACATGTAGAAGAGGAAACGATCAAATGCAGAGATGTTGTTGAGAAGGAAACACTTACATTCAGGTGTTCTGTGGTCTCCTCTTTGAGAGATTCACAGGATGAATGAAGCAGTTCATAAAGAATGGTGTCAGCACCCTTGCAGTACAAAGTCAGGTCACCTTCTGGACTCCGCACTACGATGAAGAGGTAAAGAATTGCTACAAATCTCGGACTGAGGCTTTGGGGATTCATAGCCCTTCCATCGAAACAAAGAAAAGTTTCTAGAGGTGTGAGTGTCTACAGTGTCTGAACTCCACCAAGTTTTGTCAAACTCCCAGGAATCAAGACAAGCTTTACTTAGACAAGAAGAAAATGCAAGTATTGTCCACCTTAGCAGTAGCAGCAGATCAACTGTACCCAGATTGTATTGGTCTGAGCATACACTCCTCTGGACTATGTTTTTCCTACAGGCAGCACATCTGCATGCAAAAGTTAAGAAAAATTTGTTTTTGTGGACCTGATCCTACTGCTCCTATTTCTCCTTTCAGTAAAGATATTACCTCTCTCTTGCTACAGTTATGAAATTCAAATATTGGAAATATCTAAGTATGTTGGAGGGTTAATAAAGGCTTAAAAAAGTTTCTTGAATAATTTCTGCATTTTTGTTTACAAAAGTGGGTTTCTCAGTTCATTCTTGCTTTCTCCTTTCGTACTTCCTCAGATTTCACTGATAATTTTACAGCTGATTAGAAGGAAGGCCTTTCCTGCATTGCAGTGAGGGAAGCAAGATACCTAAAAAGCTTAGTGTTGTCAGGAGGCTGGTGCATCACTGTGGTCCAGATGTTGAGATTTTCTCCCACCTGCCTATGTTAAGTATTTTTCTAGCACTGTTGTTGTGAAATTGAAAAGTCAAGGCAGCCCATCTCAAGTCCTCAGAAGTGAATGTTATTCAGAGCATGGCAAAAGAGGTCTCCTAGAGAAAAGGCATCACAGTAGAATAAGGGATAGCTCCAGAGCCTAAAAAGTCAGGAAGGAAAAAAGGAGCAAAGAGAGCATACCAATCACAGACATTCGCTTGCGAACATTGTTGAAATCAAGAATAGCCAGAAGTTCATAGATTTTTGTTTCTCCCATTTCCACAACAGTGATGGTCTCTGGTGTGCGAGCCCGGAACACAAATCCAAAGTTTCTGGCAGCAGTAACAAGGGCTCCCTCATCAGGAGATTGGGCCTGGTACACCAAGTTACCTGACACAAAAGAAAAAAAGTAATATGGCTTTTGCCTTGTTTCTGAACTAAACAAATACGAAATCAAATATATTATATAGCAATTACCCTTTTGCTTTTCTGTCTGTCCACAGAGGTGCGGCACTAAAAAGCACCTTATGTCCACACATCTCTATCAAGTCCCACCAACCCATCCTCCAGGACAGTGCAAGAGGGCCCCCAGATTCATTTGGAGTCTTTAGATTCTTTGGATTCTTTGGAGTCTAATAGATCTCACTGAGAGGACAACCCTTTCTGGTTACATCTGCATTTATTTTTCTCATCAGTATTTTCACCTTATCTGTTAATTAGTTGTTCTAGCCTTTAAAGCATCTTTTCCATCGTATCTGGGATTTGACAAAGCTGATCCAGTACATGTGGGAACACTGGGTGAAAGGAGCTAATGAGTGTCCAGTGGACAGGTGCTCCACATTCTTTGCTTGATGGGACTAGGAGCAGAGTAGAGAAAGAATGGGGCAAGCATCTGTCATGTCAGAGAAGCTGTGGCACCTGCAATTTCCACACTCCAGAGATGTGGTGTTTGCAGTAGTGTTAGCTCCACCACAGGAACAGACAAGGATTGGAGGCCTTGGTCCTTTCTCTTCCCATATGGCTACTCCAAAGACATTGATTTATGTGTAGCCATACACTACAGAAAATCAAAAAGGCCAAAAGGCCCAATAATAGCTTCTGTGGACAGAAGACATACTGTGGTGCGAGTGAACACAGTCACTCAGTCTGGTGCCTTCAACAGTCCTCACCTTCTTTCTTCTCTTCTGGCATCACTGTGTGACAAAGTGAGAGCAGACGGAAGAACCTGTGCGTTGGGACATCACTCAGCTTCACAGCTTCAACCAGGCTATGGTCATAGAATGCAAACTTTGGGTCGGCTAACTGGTTGTATGAGAAATCAACCTTCTCTGTGTTCTGCAAAAACATGGCTTGGTATTATTCGTGGAGATTTCATATACCTGTACACCAATGCCTGCCCATCCCAACCCCTCTCTCCCCCTCATATTTACAAAGGACCCTATCCTGCAGGGCTGCTCATGACAGAGATTGGTGGATCTAAGTCAGTGGGAGGTCATGAAAGATATTTAAACATAGGACAGGACAGGCACTAGATATGCCTTTCAGAGCACCACTCAGGCTGAGAACCAATTAGCTAAACTGCCTCTCTGCTAATGCTCCTACAGGATCCCTGCTGTGGATTTCTACAGCAAAGAAATGTCTGCCTTCAACACACGCCTGCTTAGAGGCATCATTCTCCCAGCATCAATGGCTGCCTGTCATAGTGGAAATGGGAGCCCAGTTTAAAACAATTCAAAAGATTGTCTTCTCCACCCTATTCTCCCAAAGCAAGGAAAAATCTGATAGGAAAAAAATAGGACAGACAAGTGATGTAAAGGTTAAACTGCACAGGCACTTCCCATTTTGTCGAAAAACAAGGAGCCCCAAGCAAAGTGGAACATGCTGGAGAAACAGCCAGAAGCTCCCAGCATGTGTCATGGAGGAGTGCACTGCCAAGCTGACAATTCTGACTCCCACCCCATCCCTGATGAGCTCAGAGTTTCCAGCTTGGGAGTCTTCCTTTTGACCTCTGCACGCTGACATTTAGCACTTAGCGCAAGAGTGCAGACCCACACCCCACACACTCATCTGCCCAGCAAGGACCAGGCACAGCAACAATCATGGATGTGTGGGCAGCAGGACTCTGCTCCAGCAAGTATCACAGGCAGGAGAGTGGGGTGGACAGTTGGCAGGAGTTCAGCATATGTCCCCTAGCAAGTCACTGCTTTGCGTTTGTCTGCCTGAGCAAGGGCAGGCTGGAGGAACAGCATTCAGCACAAATAGCCAGTTTCAGTGGTAATGTGAGTTCTAAATGGCCTGGAGATGAATCATTGGAATGAGGAGTGGGATTTGCATCATCACCTCACTGTTTGTTATTTGGATTACTGCATGCAGTTTTCAGACATATTAGAAATAAAGATGTGAATTTGCGCCAGCAAGCAAAGGCTAAAAAGAAATGTAGAAATCGCACATTTTTACTCTTTCTAATGTTCAAGTACTAGAGCAATTTGACAGTGACCTTGTTATTGGTATGAACTGAACTCACTGTTTTCCCACCAAAGCTTTAATTAACTACCAAGATTAATAAAATTTGCCGATGTCCAAGTTTCCAACAAACATCAGTGGCCAAGTATTCAAGAGAAGCTGTGCAGGTGCTAGGATGCCATGTGAAGCAGAGGGAACAGTGAGCTGTTCATGACCTGCAGGTTTAAGCCAGGTTTACTGGCAATTCTCTGGCATTCAGAGGAACACACATCACTGTTACCAGCATCAAGAGCATCAGCTCTTGCAGGGTCAATAGCATGAGCTGTGCCTTTGTGGGTTGTGTCCACAGGTTCACTGAAAGTACAGATCCTAATAGCACTTGAGTACTTACCTCATTTATTTCTATCCTTTGCCCAGACATATCATACACATCACCTGCAAGCAAGAAAGACTGGGGTTATAGCCACAAACTCCAGATAAGTGTAGTCTTTGAGCTTCAGTGATGAACTAATACAAAAATTTGTTCAAGTGTTTCTAAGCTAGTATCTCTTTAAAAAGTTTCAGTAAGCATAAATATCTTGACATGGGCACTAGAGACTGATGATTCATATAAATCAGTTTCTACGCTAATCCACGACATAATCCAGAGACTGACAGATGGTTGAAACACAAAGCAGTTACCATAAAAATGATTGGCTTTTTGGGTAAAGAAGACATGGATCAAGCTGAACCCAGAGAAGATGTAATGCTAGGTAGGAAACAAAACTGCTTTCAGGGGATGACTTCTCTTCTACCTTCCCTTTTGAATATGAGACAAAATCCAGCTCCTGAATCTTACTGGATTTGCAGCAGACCCCGGACACCCACAGAAAAGTAGTTGTCAAAGCCTATTATTTCCACACCTAGGTAGCAAGGCTGATCTATTGATCTTCGCTGAACTGCTGATCTGGTCATAGGAAAAGAAGACATCTCATTTCCAGGAAACACTATTGAAACTTCTGTCTGAAGATAAGCTTCACTTGGAAGGTGTGGATTGTGCCCAGCCCAGCCAGTTCCAACTCTTCATTGAAATAAGTTTGAAATACAATTAATTACATGAATGATAGACTCATATCTGTGCCAGCAACCTCAACTGTGACTCAAGCCAATTGTTGTGCTGGTGTGCCTTCACAAAGGCCCTGAGGGTGTAGAAGAAACTGAGAAGCCATCTCTCCTGAGAACTGCATGTAAGTTGATCCTCTGGGAACTATAGTCAAGCAGCTTTTGGACATCTCTTTCTCTTAAGCCTCCAGAGTACCTTCCCTGGCAGCAGAATTAGGTTATCTTTTCTGGCATGTCTTTCTCAAATGCCCTTGAACAGCAAATCCAGAGAAATAGATTCCTAGGAAGAAGCTAAGCATTTGGAAAACTATAGGCAATAGATTGTTTTTCTTCTTTGAACTTATTTCCCATTAAGTTCTTGAACCCATACCCTCTATGCTAGCGATGACATCTGCTCTGGAAAAGTCAACAAAGGACACATGATGGAAGAGACTTCAAACTGTTTAGCAGTACTAATGCTGGCTATCATAGTAGCACTGTTTGAGAGATGGTGGTCTCCAAACATATTAAAAAACAGATTTATAGGAAGAAATATCTTCCTTTATTAGGCCAGTTGATAGCACTGAGAAAAAAGGCAAGCTTTCTGCATCAACAGGTCTGACACAGGCAAAGCAAGCATTCATCTATTAATAAGCAGTGTCTGATTTCTCTGAGGGCAACTAGTGATGTTAATCAATTAGTCAGTTTGCGAAGTGTTAGACCTCTTGAGCAGTATGAAGAAAACTGCCTGGGGCCACACGATGAATGAGCCTTTTACATCAACGACTTCTGGAATATGACAGAGCTAACAACTTTTATTTCCTGTTTTTTCCAACTCCATACAAACTTTTCTGTCTTCTGGTAGGTGAAGTATGTCAGGGCTAAAGACAAGCACTAGGCTGCTCATGACATGAAAAATAGCTGAATGTGAGACACAACTGAGTGAGAAGCTGACAAAATTTGCAGATAACCCTACGAGGGATGGCTGATTTCATTAGGAGTTAAGAGGGAGGTAGTTATGTGAGTTACATGTTAATGTTTTTCAGGTTTAGCAATACCTGGGTAACCATGTCAATAAAAAACTGAGATTACCTGGGTAGTGATATCAGAAAAAAATTCAAATTTGAGTACAGATGTTGTAAATCTGGGACCAATGAGGAGAAAATAATAAAGTGCTGGTTCTTTAGTTGGGATGCTAGTGAGGTAGGAAAAGGGAGATAAAAGAGCGGCAAAAAGGGGAAACAAGAAAATTATGTTAAGATTTAACCAGGTGATGCAATCAGGCTGTCCAGGCAATCCTGCTGGGCAGCTCTGCACGTGATCACAGCGGCTTCTTACATGACGGTCTCTTCCTTCTGGATATCACATTTAGTCTCTGTGGACCAAGAGGCATACAATGAAATAAAACTCAGAGAATAAGACAAACAGATAAGATACCGTAGGATTTGCCATTGATGGAGCACTTGTTGAAACACATGATATTCTGAGTGAGAGTTCCTGTTTTGTCTGAGAAGATGTACTTGATCTGCCCCAGTTCTTCATTGAGTGTAGTAGTACGAGCCTGAGCCGGTGTGTCATTCAGTGGATAATACATTTTACGGTCCCAGTCGATGTAGAAACTGTTACCCAAGCGTATAATCTCTACACTGATGAAACAGAAAGAGGAGTTGATGGAATATTCATTACTTTAAGGGACAAGATATTTATCTTCAGCACCACCATTAACGATTGCAATTAGGAGACAACTGTGAAGGTAATGACAGTTTGAACTCATCTGTCCCTAGATGGCCCATGGTAAGGAATGCTGAAACAAGTTCTGCTGAAACAGTGCTATACCAAATTCCTTTCCTTTATTTATAAAACAACATCTTATAAATGTCCTTGGAAAGTTTCAGAAGTTTTCAGACTGAGAAGTGAGGCAAGAGCAGTGGGTTTCACTTGGTGCTGTTTCAGGAGATGGTTTCCAGCAGGGCTGGGGGCTGGGCTGATCCCAGTGCTGGAGGACAAGCACAACCATGTCTCAAACAACACAGAGCTGCACAACAAGTGAGCCATTGTGTCACTCAATACAACCAAAGAGTGGCACCAGCTCACAGACTACATGAATTTTCACTTTGCTCCTGGTATGACATACTGGACAGGAATGGGAATAATTCCTCCTCTTTACCAACACAAGTGAGCCTCACTAGCAAAGCTGACTGAGGAGTCAAGTGCAATGATGAACTAAACAGGGCGACTCAGTTTATACCCTGACCTCAAGGTTTTGAGTGTCACAGACACATTGCCTACTCATCATCCCTGCTTGCCTATCTGCAATAGCCAATGTCGCACTAAGTTCTTTAGGAAAAACCACACTGCTCATATAGCATCTATGTACTACGGATCTTCGACCTGATTACACCTACTTACCTGGCTATCCACTCCTCCTATGAATCCTAAAGCCACCTCAAAGAATAGGCCATTCATGTTGATGAGTGGAGCAAATGGGAAAGAGCAAGATGCTAGCTGTAGCAAGCTTCCAGCCTTGCTCCTCTAGCATCCTACACACCTACACTTCCTCTTTAACTGCAAAATCATCCTTTCGTCTTTCAGAGCTTGCTGCTGACCCCGCTCCAACCCTGATAAAGATCTCTGAAGGTAGCAGAAATAAGAAAAGCCTTCGTGTGGTTATGTGTGATCATCCACAATGGAGTTGCATTTGGATTTAGAGAAAACGCTGCTCCCATCTAAGGCAAAAGCTAAACCTCTGCAGAGATCAAACATGAAAGGAGCTTCTGGCACATACCTGACATAGAGTGAAATTGGCACCACTGTGTTTAGAATGATCACATATGACCAGAACATGAGGAAGCCAGAGAAGGAAGCAGAGGTGACACCTTCTGCCCAGGGCAGATAGACCTGGAAGTAGTAGCCCTTATCGTGTTCCCAGATGCCATTGCCAATGGCTAGGATAAGACACATCAGTGCTAAAAATGCAAAGATCTGGAAAAACAAACAAACAAAACAAATAAAAACTAAACAAAAAGCATTGCATTTTAGAAACCATGAGTTTATTATGTACAGTTTAATCAGAAGACCCTAATGAGATTGGGTTGCATAGCCTGAATCATAGGAAAATATTCTTAGAGATGAAGATGATAAAAAAGCGAAGTTATGACACTTTTTACCTCAAGAACAAAACTACGCAGTACAGAGCCTGTCAATTTGTAATTACAAGTCCTCAATCAGTTGAGGATTTAAATCCCAAGCAAACATCTCCACTGAGGTGGTCACAGGCTGTTGGCTGCAGAACATCAAATCCCATTAGAGGTTGGTTGAGCTGAGGGTCCTCAAACATCTGGCTGCACACTTGGGAATAGAAACTTCTTGGAGAACTTTATATGATCATTTGCTGGATTCATTGTCATTTTTCTCACAATTTCTGGAAAACTACTAAGGATAATTTGTAACACAGGATGGAATTCAGCACTAGATATAATTCTGATGGCTAAAGGAGAGTTAATTGCTAACTCAGAACTAATGGTTGCCTTAGTATCTGCCCTCACAATTTGATTACATTTCCTTTGAGCAAACAAAAGCCACCACTAGCCAGTGATGGTTATCCTTGGACTTTAGAGAAGCCTGTTTTCTGAAGCCTAAAGCAACCAGGAGAACAGCAATGGGGAAGCAAATTTCAAAGTGGGACACCTTAGTGAAAAACAGGGCTTGCTCAGGAACATTATTAAATAGACGCAAAAATATTACATAGGTCATAAAACATTTATAATTAAAAGAAGAAAAGCATGTATCAATACAGTTATTTGGAAAAGAATACAAAAAGAATGCAAAGAAGGAAATTTAACAAGTTGATATAAACTGCATAGAATTATAGAACTACAAATATGTAACAGTCATAAAACATCAAGGAAAGAAATTAGTAAACTTATAAACAGGTGTGTGAAAGCAGACATATTAACAGATAGTCCTCCAAGAGGAAGGAGGAAGGAAGAAGTATCTATCCCATATGATGTATCAGATGGCAAAGACAGATTATGATCACTGACAAGGAACACTATGTGGCTCTATCTGCTAATAAGCATTTTCAATCCGGTGGGTCCATGTAATTTAAAGATGAAAGCTTAGAGGAACCAGTAAGGTTAATGTTTAACAATACTTTGAAAACTGGGAAGCTCCACAATCCTGAAAATCTGCTAACGTAAGTACAATATTTGCAAGGAAGGAATAGTGATGGTGGGGAAGATAAAGTGCAGTTAGCTTGACATCCTTCCTGGGCAAATGATAATGAAATAATTCTTTTGACATAGACTTTTCCAATCATTTGACATAAAACAAACAATGGACAAAAGTGAAGATATGGAATCAACAAGCTGCACAAAAGAGCAATTAAAACTCATATTTTGCAAGTGTAATCACTAGGGAGGAAATATCAGTAAGTCGAACTATTATGTAAAGGCCATCCAGTAACAATCACATTAAAACAGTAATCAACCCTTTTAAAAAACACTAATTGAGGTACAAACATAGGAACATTGATGGTAGAGCTAATATTTGTACTGCTGAGGTAATCTGTGAGAGGAAGAAGGATACTTTTATGGAGCTATATGAATCACTTGGTAAAAAATTCACATCTGATCAACTCAAGTTTTAATACAAAAAAGCCACTAAAAGGGAACTGCAGTAAGAAAAGTTGCTGGGCTGAGTTTCAGGATACATTTATCTCCCACATGAGTAGCAGCTTTTCTATTTAATTGTAGGAGGCCAAATAAACTACTTGGCTTTTGAAATGGAGACAATAGTGCTTGCTGGTAAGGAATGTGGTGCAGTGTTTTAAAACTCTATGACCAGCAGTGAAAACAGACTTCAATCTGTGCTGTTGTAATTACCAGGACTTAAGGATATATGAGAGGCAAGACCCACCTCGCTGCCTCTCTAGTTAAAAATTGTCCATTTGTAAAATATCACAATCCATGTAGGAATTTCAATGTGTGATTCTGCAATGGAAATACACACAAAGCAAGGCAGAAGCTGAACTTTCCCAAAGTGTCTCTGTGCATGGCTGGGGTGTTGGAAGAAGTTGATCTTTAAGGTACCTTCCAACTCACATCATTCTGTGATTCTATATCACAGCATCTCTTGTCTACAACTGCATTAGCTTTATGTACATTTTGTTTTATGTATATTTGGCATGTCAACTCTCTTGTCCCTCACAACTCCACTTACCTGCGATACTTGTGCTTACACAAAGCTCACTAACATGCTGTTTACTCTGAGATAAATGAAAAGACCAAAACGTTAACAGCAGCCCCAGAGATTAATTTCTGTGCAGAGAAACAACTGTGTGCAGGATGTTGTAATCATAACCACAGCCCTGCAGGAGAAGGATGTGAAAAACTCTGATAGTAAGCTTATGTATGTTCATGTGGCTTCCCAGCATGAACATCCTCCCTTTCTGGGTCATGCCCATGCACTGCCTGTGAAAGACCCCCTGAGTAGGAGTTTTGTAAAGAGGAGATGACTTTTGACAAACATTGACTATTGGACTGTGAATTAAAACGCTCTTGGTTTCTTTGTTGACACTTTGAGTTCTGCCTCAGCATTTGAAGCAGTAAGTTGTTTAAGAGATGAAGGTGACAGCTCTCTTTCTCTGTAAACATGCTTCCTCAAGCCTGCTAGAAAAGCAAGTTTTTTTGGGAAAAGAGAATTTCTGGAGCTGGCGGTTGCATCCCCAGTGGAGGAACATTAACTTCTCTCTCAGATCACTGAGAAACACTTCCAAACATGAAAAAACTGCTATGGTTGCCATCTGGAAAAGTTCACTCCTGATTAACCCTTGTTGGGTCAGACCAGGGCACCATTTAACAAGGATTCTGTTGGCAAACCTGCTTAAACAGTGCTTTGTGCTGGAGGTTTTATGGACAAATAAACACAAAACAGCTTTGCCAGTGTTAACGTGGAATATGTTTCATTACATTTAAATAAGCTCTATTTAGCAAGCTGTGGCTGCTTTGTATTTCCAGACTCGAAAGCACAATATACTGCCTGTTTTTATGACTGTGCTGTGTAACCTTCAACCACCCAGTGAGCTGAAAAGACCTCATGCCACATGCCCTTAGGTGTGCAAAGAGCCTGGTGCTTAAGGTAGGACAGTGCTTTACTTAGACATCAAAATTCTAGGTTACTTAAAAATGCATGAGGAAAAAAACATATCCTTGGCTCCAAGACAACCCAAGAACACAGGCAGAGGCTGATGCAATCAGCTGCAACTTGCTCAGTTGTTTAAAATGGAGCCAAGATGTAAATTCATCTCACTTGTGTTTATGAAGAGAGGCCAAACAGTCAGAAAGCTCGGGGTGGGACCCGTGGCTTGTGAAAGGAGATTTGGCAAATCTTAATTGAATCCTAAATTCTGAGTTCCCTATTCAGCTTTTCTCTGCTCTCTTTCTGTGCCCATGGATCCCTCAGTCCATTCTTGTCTCCAGCTAGGGCACAGTAGAACACCTAAGAAATTATGATGTTTTTAAAATGCTTGCAAGATTTTGAATGTAAGAGGCCCAAACCTGGTTCGTTTTTGCTGTCCCCTTAAGGGGAGAAAACCAATCTGATGATGATAATCAAGATTTTTCACCTGGCAGAGATTGGTGCAAGGTTACTAAAGTCAAGGGCGTGTCCTTACTGTACACAGAACAAGGGGTCAAGAGGGATTGAAGATGGCCCTGGAGTGCTCTGTGTTCTGTGGCACTGCTGGGTATCTTTTGACCCACCTAAAGAACTTTTGGGATCCTGAGGAAAAAGCAGAAGGTCAGGGGCTGGGATGAAGTGGGAAGGTTGGAGGGTGGTGCCATCCTGGAGATGTTTGTGTTCTAAGCCCCAGTGCTGAGGAGGCATGAAGTCACAGAGGGCAGGGAGAGCTCAGGACAGCATTGCTGTGATGGATATACTGCTGTTAGATGCTTCTTCCAGCCTTGCTCCAGCCTGGCCCCAGCTGAGTCTTAGGTTGGTCTGGAGAGCAAAGGTAGGAAGGAGGGAAGAAGTGGGAACAGTCACCACCAGGCCTTCCCAGTGTCATAAACTAAAGGGTGCACAACATGCATGAAAAAGCATGATGAGCTTGCGCCCAAAGGAAAATAAAATCTCAAACTAAAGAGCTTTTCTTCAAGCAACATTGACTAAAGTAGTGTCAGAGTATGTGTCTTCCTTCCCTGAGTGGCTTTAAACTCAAGCAGTAAAATCTTGGGACTGTCTGTAGAATAATCGCTTTCTCTGCCTGGAAATATTTACATTTGTTAAAACCACTGATGAGCTTAACCCTCAAATTAGATCTGTTTTTCAGTCTGAGAAGAGTGCCTGCTATATAAGATTAGTGTTCTCTAATTTCCCAGCTGCTAAAAACACCAGTTTCTGAGCATTAACGAGACCTTGTATAATATTTTATCTCAATGTGTTAAGTCAGAAGCTGGCATCATGTAAATTAACGAACTAAATTACCAAGTCCTATTCAAATACCACCAGAGATGCCAAAAAATCAGGAGGAGGAAGGAGAACTGCTAATGTTTATTTAAATAGAAAATGACAAAATTACTGGGAGAAAAAAGGAATTTTCAGGCTTCAAAATGTTTCTCACACAAAAATGCAGAGCAAGGGAGAGCAAAGCAAATGACAAGCTCAGAAGAAAAGTCCTTAATTCTGTCAGTGTAATGGCCTTGCTTTGCAAGATGGGCTGGCAGAGATACTGCAGAACTCAGGCTGCTTATAAATTATTACATAATTTTTCTTTTCATCATTAGTCACTTCTGATATTCCCTCATTTGTGTGGACAAAGAGGTGGAGCATCTAGAAATGATGAACACATCTGAAGAAATGAACACACATAAATCAGACTTACCAGCAACACAAGGACATTCATGAGTCGATCGATGCTTGTTCGTTTAAAAGTTGTTTTTCCACTGTTCTGCATTAGTTTGGTGTCTGGCCCTGGAGATGAAACACATATGTTAATTTTAGCAATAAAATTTAGCCATTCTAAAGCTGATTCCCTCTGAGGTCCCACTGTGCTTTCCAGCATAAATAACCATCATAGCTTTCTTGAAGGTAGGTACGTACAGTTTGCACTGCTGGTGGGAAACTTGGGCAGAAACAAGTTAAGTCATTTGCTTGAGATTATATAGAGAGAGTCACACAAACCCATTAATTCTGGACTTAGGATCTGCTCTCTTCTTTCAACTTTCAATCCTCCCTTTCAGGTTTAATTACTTTTCACAGAATACCTGATACTTCTGTGTTATTGGTGACATATTATACATTATCTCACATGTCTAGAACAGTACGGAAACAATAGAAGGACTATGCTCATTGAAAGGGTAGATCTAATCAATAATATTATTGATGACTCTGATATTCCAATATGGATTAAAATCACATAGAAATTTTATGGCATTTTTAATTGAATACCCTTGAGTGAAAAATTTTGAACAAGCCTGCTGAAGGAAAGACTCCAATTGGCCCTGTGTGGGGCAGTAAAGGCAGATTTAATTCAGCTTTAATTCTTAACTGAATTTAATTTTTATTTTATTTCATGCTGATCAATCAAGACTCCCTTCCTGTACTTTGCTGCATGCATTTTTTTAAATAAAAGAACTACTTCTAAAGCAATTAAAACTACTAAAACTACTTATTAAAGCAATTAATCAAGATGGAATTGGATGTTGTAATGTAGCATTTGCAATACATTTTTCTCATACAGAGCACAATAAAAATCTCAATTGTTCTGCTTATGTTCTTGTACCTGGTAGAAACACATTTCCAAAGAGGAAAACATTTGGTTCCTTTGTGCTTGCTGGGATTTGATGTACTTCCGTGCTAGTGCTGCTGTGCTCTGCAATTCACATGTCAGTCTTTCTACCTACCAGCATAAATAACGAGTCCAAAGCACCACTCTGTGTTCCTAATAGTACAGCCCCTCAGCAGCATCTTCTCATTGTCCAGGGCATACTTCTCTCCTCGAAGAGTAAGAGTCCCTGTGAATTTATCCAGCTTGTTATTTGGTGCCTCACATCTGACTTCTCCTGTAAAATGAAGGTAAAAAGCAAAAATGGAAATCTTGGCCCAGAAAGATATCATCAATACTGCATTCTCAGCTGTTCCCCAGAGAGACAATATTTTGTACTGAAGCTGCAGTAGACTCCTGACCCTTTCATCCCCATTCTACATCTTATATTTACTGATGTTTTGGAATGTTGCTCCTTCCCCATATTAATGTCATAATCCAATGGACCGCAATGAATTTGGATTTATCCAAATTTTTGAACATGGCAGATTTTTTTATTGGTAGAGTATGAAACAAAGTTTCCACAGCTTTTACGTGGGTGAGAAGAAATGTTGAACCAGCAACATACTTTTAATCTATTCACAGCAAGTTCATATTTGTAGGATGTCACTGGGTAGCTTTACCTAAAAGTGCTGACATCACCTTTTTTTCCTCTCATTTTCCCTCACACTGCAGGAGCCCAAGCGAGAAAAATCACAGCCTAAAGGCTGCAAAAGAGTAATTAACTGAGGTGTCTTTGTTCACTGTTCTTAAATTTCATCTGTTTTATAGCTCAGGTCCTAGTAGTACATGAAAAGATACTGCTACCTTCTTTGGCCATGCAGCTGACACTGTAAGTGATTGGAGTATCTATTTCAACACTTTTTTTCTTGTAATAAAATGTGTTCACATAAAACTGTAAACACAGGTACTTCAGTATAAAAATGACTATTTAAATCAAAATTTGCCTCTGACATTTAAAGATTCAAAGCAGAGCCCTGTGGAAGCATTGAAAAGAACTGAAAAATACAAATATGCCTTATTGAAAGGGAATCTAAGAGTTCAGTCTGTTCAGCA